GAAACAAAATTAGTAAGACTGTATGACAGTACAGGTACATTTATTTATCATAAATAAATGTTATGATAGTCAAAGCAAAAGTTTACAATGATTGATTTAGATTTCTTTTTACACAGGGACATGAACGCACATTCACTGCACATACGCTTCTAGAGTGAAATTAGTTTGGTGGAAATACATATGAATTGTCCATTTTAATAAATGCATAATATTTAAGATACGAAAATTAAGTTTATTTATATTCGAAAAAAATATTTTTTACTGTGAATTATTATATTTTACTCTTACCATAAAATTAAAATTGAAAAAAAAATAAGATTCGAAAAACTTACCATTCAATGGAGATGGAGCTATTTTTGCTGCTGGTTGTGACGTCTTAGATGTTGACGACTTTGATTCAAGATTCGCCTTCCTCAGCTTCTTAGGTTTAGAAACCTGTACTGCTTCATTCACAGATTACTTCTTGACCATCTTGAAGTCGAAGGAGTACTGAGAATTTAGGATTGTAGAATTTCGTATAGAGATGATAGATGATGATAACCGATATCTATAAGCCATCGAAGTATATACGAATATAAAGGAATAGAAGGGAGTATTTTTTAAATATAAGAGCTGAGATAGCAAATAGATCACACTGCTTAAGGAGGCTCGTGACGGTTCCTGAACCTAGACCATAATAATGTAAGAGTGTAAAATTTACTGAATCTAATGGTACAACTCCTTATATCGCTTACCCTACAAAATTTTAAGATATTATTAATTTTATGTAGCGCATTCTAACACACATTGTTATTACAGAGTTCGTACACGCAATGAAAGTAACCTAATAACCCGAATAAATCAACGGTTTCTGTAATAAGAGTAGACACGTTTTGTAGAAAAACATCCGTTCTTTCAAATGACACCTATAAAAGAAAGCATTACCCTGGAAACCTTCGTGATATTCTTTTCTAAACGACTTGAGTAATTTTATTTTCATAGGTTATCCTATGTTCTCTTGCGTCAGTGATGCCAACCATACCTGAGTTAGCAAGAAAATTTGTGACCTATGACATGGGTTGGCATCTCTGTACGAGGGAGCCTCTTAAATTGTTTTGGGACACTAATGACTCTGACTATTTATTTTTGGACTGCTGCATTGCATGCTAGCGGAAGTAGTAGGGACAAAACGGATGAGAAAAATAAGTTCGCATTAAAAGTGTGAAACAATTTTTAAAATATGAATTAACGTAATATTAATTACGCACTAAAGTGTTTAATCTTCGAACGTTACATTTAAAACAAATATAAGAACGGTAGAAAGAGTGAGGAAGATAAATTTTGCATTTAAAATGTGAAACGTATCAACATTAATTTTTTTTCAATATATCTGTATGCGATAACCAGTAAGTCAGATTTTGAATGTGTCTACAACATTCGTCAAAAGTTTGATAGGCGTCTCATTGTATGTATCTAGTGAAGGGAAGAAAGTACACAATGTTAATACAGAAACTACCTATATGAGGTAAAATTAGAGAAAAATTTAAAAACTTTCATTTGTTCACTAGAGCAAGCATTATTTGGCAAGCAAGGAGAAGATAAATAGACAAACATTGTCACTGTTAGTAGTAGACAGCCTACCACATATTTAAAAAAAAAGTAATTTTCAAGTCAGGATTTTCATAAAATTTCGATTTTTTAAAATCTTTTTTCCAAACAAGAGTTAAGAGAACAATTAGTATGCTACTGTGGTGACACAGCGTCTTAATACTCTGGTTACTGGCGCTGAGAGACTATTTGCCACACAGCTCGTCAAATGGGAGCAGTCAGCATCCTGACTCGTATGCGAAGTTAAGTATAACTTTCTGGAAGAAAAAAAAAGAAAAAAATCTGTATTTTCATTCGAAACAAAGTATAAACTATTCATTTATCAGCCATGCCACATGCTGAGAGAGAGAAAGAAAAATGTTTCCACATTTGAGCCAAAACCGGCCTTGTTTTCTACTGGCGTGGAGGAACATGAAGATGCAAAGAAAAAGAAATCAAGTTTTTCATTGTCTTTTAAAATTGTAAAGGTAAAATTTCTGAAAATTCAATCAACTAGCTAAATTCATGCAAAACACTTTGTCTGGCATGTGAAGCTTGACCAGTCCATGAGAAAAAGTACTATTTAAATAACAAAAGTTAATTTTGACATTAATAATAATGAGGTCCAAAATTAAGTATTAATTGTGATGACAAAAGAGCAAGTCAAAGGAGTTTATATATATGTTTTAACTTTGAATTTATTCCGTTATTCCATCCAACTGATTTTTCAAATCAATACACTAACTTTGGATTTAATATAACAATCTTACATGCTACAAATTTATGTTACTGGACCAACATAATGTTTTTAGAAGATCTATAACTTTTTGTGTCCATCATTTTGTCTAAAAATGAGACGTATAATAATTAAATCATGTGAAACGATTTCCTTGCCATTTCAAAACAACTTTCTCAGATTTATTTGTCAAGAAAGCACTTTAGCAAAAAGCTAAGGAAATAAAAAGTCTTATTTAAATAAGCTCTTAAAATTTTGTGTTTACCACTATGTTGTACAGTATAAATTTATCTCAGTACAGGCAAAAATATGTTTTTTTGCTGTTCTCATACATAGTTTTTATCATAGAGTACCTACATTGAGATTTAGAACAAAATGTATAGCACAAATCATTCATATTAAATTAAGATTTGCTACACCCCTTTTTAATGTGTACGTGTGAAAAGTATGTGAAAGAATTCTTGACGAAGAACTGTTTTTTTTTTTGAAAATCACTGAAATCCTGTCAAAATTTTTAACTTAGATAAAACCTATCCAAATTTGACCAATCAGTTGTGATATAACCTGAAGTTGACAACAAAACTCCAGCCCATTAAGATCATAATTCTAGTACCTAGATAATTAATTAGTAGATAAACTTTTTTTCCTGGCAAAATTAACAGACACTTTCATCATGCATCATGCATTGTTCATGCCTAAAATGATAACGATATCTATTAGGGAAGCTAAGAATGAGGTCGTAATAGGAGCAATTTAGAGAGAAGAATATAAGATAGTTCAAATCGTAAATGGTAACGTGGTAGGGGATATTTCTAAAAAAATTTTATACGCAGGCATAAATGATATTAGTATCATTAGTGGTAGCAACGATGGCTTGATTCTGACACTACTATAATCGTTTATTATGTGGACACATATTTTACATAATATAATAAAGGTTTTGACATAATTGTTGAAGATTTTTGTATTATATAACAAATTTTATTCTATAAACATATTAACTAATGATAAAACAGTTTCATGAAACAATGTTAATTTTGTATCTAGCGAGCAGACACGCAGATGTTTGCAACTCACTGTTCGAAGAACGATGTAGCACGTCAAAGTGTGTAAGTCTTATATTCTTCTTTTATCGTTGTTACTACATAAAAAAATTATAAGTTTATATAAATTCACAAGAAATACCTTGCAAAAGTGTAGAAACAAAATTTGTTAAAGTCAAAACAACAGTTAAAACTCAACAAAAATCGTAATCAATACTTAATTGTTAATAATTATTGTTTGAAACGTTCAACAGCAACCATTTTTATAAACTAGTAAGAAAATACTCTCTGTCCAGTAAACTATTGTAAACACAGTAATATATAAAACGTCAAAGTTATATCAATTTTTTAATGATACAAAATTGACTTTTGTAAAAAATCAGCGTAAAAAAGAACTTATTTCTTTTGTATTAAAGTTCTTAGTACCGTTATTAAAATACATTTAAAAATCCAATCCCACCATTCCATGAATCAAAGGTTTAGGACATTGTCAAATAATTGATATAATGTACAAAATCGCCATCAATCCATTTTTTTGTAATTTGCCTTAAACGTATTATAAGGATATCAATCAAACTTTTTTGAACGTGCAGGTTTTTCATATTCAAAAAATTTGAGACTTGTTAAATGGAGTTTGGTTAATAATTTATGGGCATACAAATAAATGAGTTTAAAAAAATTAGATTTTAATTTATCTTTAAATAAAGTATGAAGTGCGTACGTATCTAAAAAGCAGGACAAATATGTCTTTTTAGAGTTCCAAATACACCGTTAAACTTTTATAACAGAATATTCATTAGTTTATGAGAAATTGCAACTATTAAAAAAAAAATTATTATATGTTTAATGGTTTTGTCAAGACATATATTTTACAATGACGCTATGGGCACAGCCATTTATTTTACTGTATGATGATCAAAATGCCGTGCAAAAATTATGATTCTTTCAAAAGTATAATTTCTTGCAATATTTTGTGAGTAAGTGGCTGTAACTATCTGCGGTTTTTACAGGTAGGTAGCTGGTAGTTTTATACTAATTAAAACAAAAGGTTTGTCTAGTATATGTAGAATCCAAGATAATTTTTTTTAAATAAATTCTTCACATGTTGATTTATAAACATTAACACCATAAATCATAAGTATGCATTGTTAAAAACTTTTATTTAGTAGTTTCATTGATAATGATGTAACAACTGTTATTGAAACAGATACACTTTTATCCAACAGAGGTGCTCGTTTAGGATAGAAGAAAATGGCGTTATCAGATGTCTGATGTGATCAGTAATCAAAAAGTCGATCAAGATATACATTAAGGTACTTTAAATTCGTAAAAAAAAGCCCGTATCTCCGCTATTTTTTATGCGATTTCCACCTCTTTTACTAAAGCTGGGGTATCTTAAGGATAAAACAAGAACTATCATAATCAAATTACTAAATTCGTTGAACATTAATTTGCTAGAAGCAAATTTTTGTTTAAATTATAAAAATTTTAATACGTTTTATTTGCAATAAATTACGGAGCACAAGAAAACTTTCAAGTAAAGTAGCCACTGGAAGTGCTGATACTTCAATTGTTACTGCAGCAATGTAGGAAGCATGCATCCAAATCGATAAGAGCGTCTTAATTGTTAGTAACGATACCCATCTTCAGCCATTATGACTCAATTGCAAGTGTCAGGTTAGTCTTGCAACAATTTATTTTTAAAAAAAAACAATTATAAGAGTAATTCAAAACTGTTGCACGTTGATTGATACAGCGTAGATAATTTTATGTATGTACAACTGCAAGAAATTTATTATATTCTTATATATCTCCACTGACTGCAACATTACTTCGTATTTTTTGATCAAGGAAGAAGTAAAAAATTTGATGTGGGAAAGGCGTACTGAAAATTTATCGGAAGCATTTTATGAGCCACAGGCAAACGTTGAACAATCAACTGAAAATAACCAGCCATTGATAACTCATATGTGCAGTAATAAAACAGACGATAAATTTATCAAGTCTTGGCTAGATGTACGTGGCAGCACTTTTAACTTACACGATTTAAGATATCTGCTGTAAGAACGCAGTGTTTTAAAAAAAAATTCAGTCTCTTTCGAGAGCCTGCCTCTAACAAGTACATCTACCATCCAACATATTAAACGATAAGATAATACATCATTAAATGCAACGATCTTTGGTAGGCAACTATGTGACAATTTCTCACAGCTCATGCAAACGGCTGATGTGCTATATCAAGACAGCATTTTAATAAAAATATTATGTTCGAGCAAGGAAGACTGCATAAATAATCGTTGAAGATGTCACAAGCATGGTCTCAAAATCCTAAGGCTATTCGCTTCGCGCAGCAATTTAAAACAACGCGACCTGCAGGGGAAAAGTTGTCGATGCTAACTAACAAGAATCCGCAGCATCTGATAGACAATGATAGATAACAAGTGTTTGTTTTAACAATAATAATTATTTAAAAACTAAAATAAGTTTTTTCAGACCCATCATCGAGNGTACTGTGTTTTTTGTTGAATGATAATTTTTAAATTTAAGAAACTAATGCTTTTGTTGTTGCATGTCTCAACAGTGAATTGATATTCCGGACAATAGCTATTAAAAATGTTTTTAGTATTGTTAACATATTTAGTAGGCACACATATAAAAATATCATCCACATACCGCACATACAGAGGAACATCAAAACATAACTTCTTTAAGCATGAAATTTTAAGCAAACGCATTACACGCTCACACAGCACTGGACTACAGGGACTGCCCATTGGAGATCCATTAAGTTTGATAGTACATTGTGTGATATGTCTTGGAAAAACGTCATAAGTCCTACATTTAATTAAAAATTTGTGCTTTAATTCACCGCTCTTCAACTTCTTCTGAACACAACCAAGCTTATAAAAAGTAAAATTTACATTTCTACCGAAGCAAGCACTTATGGAGTCAAGCACCCTTGAAAGCGATTCAAACTTCCTACTGGTGAGGATGGTTAGTAGTTGTTGCAATATGGTGCTCTCCATTGCAGCACTGTGTAGATGCAGATGTAAATGTAAAGGACGTACAGCTTTTACCAGCGTCCACAAATAATAAAATTAGATGTCCACGAAATTTTTTTAGGAAAATTCCAAAGATTGAAATCGAAAAAAATGTTAAGTCCAAATTTTTCAAAAGTTATCGGAAATTGATTAAGTGTGTTGATAACGTACAAAATTAAAGCATATAATTTTATTTCTCAGGTGAGATTTTGAGATAAGAAATCACCTGAGATCTCACCTGAGAAATCTTAGTAGGGTGAGGGTTGTATCGACATCCCTAATAGAAACCTTATCAATTTATGTAAAAATATAGATTTAGCATAGGCTGAGTGCAAAAAAAAGGTTGTCAATATGCTTATGTTTCTTACAAAAATGAATATTAAATGTATTTTTGGTACTAGTTGCTATAGTATTGTTGTTAAAAGTAGAGTTGCTTCAACTGAAAAATAAATATGATTTATTTAATCTCAGATCGATTATTAAAACAAGCCAAATTTTACATCAAGTATAATGGTGATCTGAATTGTTCACACAGTGTATGTGGATCATAATACTGAAAAAGGTATATTCCGTCTTTCAGTCAATTACAATGTCGTGTAAGGAGATATCGATCTGAAATTTTTTTTAAATAATTAGGAGATGGTTTTTGCTAGAGCTACAAGAGAATACAGATCATAAAAAGGACTGCTTTAGTTTGAGATGCAAAAAAGAGTCCAAATTAGCGTTAGGGGATCAAGTCTCGTTCGGAAATTTGCAGTTTTGACGACGGCTGGAAGCAAAAAAAAAGAGTTTCTAATTCTTTCACAGCAAGAGATCTTACAATTATTAATGTAAAGACCATTTTCACGAATTTTAGAGAACACAGAAAATATTATTCATTATTTAGATAATGTTAAAGTTGTGCGGCCAAAATCTAAGAAATGTAACAATTCAACAGGAAATGTTACCACAACTGCACGCAATTGAATTTTAGCATTCTAACTTTTACGTCTTATAGTTTACTGAGGTCAAGAATGTTGCAGGGATTTTTCCAATTTCTTCATTCCGATAAGCCAGGCTCGCGAATTTTTAAATTTGATCCCTTCATAATAAAAACTAAGAGCCCTTAACGCTTAGGAATGTCATGTATCTTTTTGAAGCGTTTAGTTATCGACTTGGAGGTTAATGGATTAAAATATAGCTGTTTTGTATATAATATAAGGGTAGTGGTGAGGTTTAATTTTTTTTGAGGTTGAACTATATGGATATTTTAGCGAATGGACAAACGCTGGTAACGCTATCCTATAAGGTCTTGTACCTTTGTTTTATGTTGGAACATCAACTTAGATTGTTACTTTTACAAATTTTTATAAGAAGCAACCGATATTAATGTTAAAAATAACGTCCAATGGTGGTACAGTCAAATTTTGTATTTATTAAAAAAAAACGACGTTTCGGCCGTTTAGACAATGCCCCAGCCCTCATCAAGTACAAAAATCTATGAGTAATACCCAAATTCCTTACAATCAAACTTTTGGTAAATACAATAAACGCAAATTAAGTAGAGTGTATAATATACCTCTGACTCTTACGAAGAGGATGTAAAATCGTAATGTAGTCAGAATTTTAAGTTTGGCTGCTTTTATACCCTGCACATACACAAATGACTTAGTATACGCACATAATACAATCAAATAAGAATTGCAAGCAGTTGCTTGTAAGACACACATAAACAAATCATGTTTTCCTAATACTGTAAATAAAAGAAGTCCTCAAATCATGTACATCAAGTTAGTCTCCTTTCTTAATTGGCTTACCGAGAGACTTATAACAATTTTTGAATTTTCTGTATCTTTTGGTCTATTATTATTATTATTAAAATAATGTATATTTAACATTTTGGATAAAAGACGCTTCTTGTAATTTTGATCTATGTCTGAAATTTTTATTTTATTAAAATTGAAGTGTGTAAATTCAATGCTATGTTGTGATAGTACACATGTAACCTTTTTTTTTTAATGTCTCTTTTATGTTCTGCCATTCTTAATTTTACAGCTCTTGATGTTTGACTGACATAACAGCAGTTGCAATTTGCACATGGTGTGTCGTAAGCGACATTGTTTTTATCGAGTGGCTCGGTTACATCTTTTCCAAAGGAAAAGATCGAATTCAATTTATTGTTTCAATTATTTACAAGACCAATGTGAAGCTGCTTACAAAATATTTAATAGGACTGTCCAAGTGGTGAATATGCGGTAATAATAATATTAGTTTATAATTATTATTGTTTCTATTGCAATTGTCAATCATACTTATGTTTTTTAAGGTATTTATTTTTTTGTTTAAAAATTTATCAATAAATCTTTGAGGATACTTGTTAGCTAGTCGAAATTTATTGATTAATTTTAAATTATCGTTATGAAATTGAGTGTCTGCTTATTTAGTGGAAAAGTCTACTAATGTGTAAATGATACCTATTTTATGTTGTATTAGATGGTGGGAGAGAAAATTCAAGTATCGGCCTGAATGTGTGGATTTTTGGTATGAATAAGTTAGTACTGTGTTTTTTGTTGAATGATAATTTTTAAATTTAAGAAACTAATGCTTTTGTTGTTGCATGTCTCAACAGTGAATTGATATTCCGGACAATAGCTATTAAAAATGTTTTTAGTATTGTTAACATATTTAGTAGGCACACATATAAAAATATCATCCACATACCGCACATACAGAGGAACATCAAAACATAACTTCTTTAAGCATGAAATTTTAAGCAAACGCATTACACGCTCACACAGCACTGGACTACAGGGACTGCCCATTGGAGATCCATTAAGTTTGATAGTACATTGTGTGATATGTCTTGGAAAAACGTCATAAGTCCTACATTTAATTAAAAATTTGTGCTTTAATTCACCGCTCTTCAACTTCTTCTGAACACAACCAAGCTTATAAAAAGTAAAATTTACATTTCTACCGAAGCAAGCACTTATGGAGTCAAGCACCCTTGAAAGCGATTCAAACTTCCTACTGGTGAGGATGGTTAGTAGTTGTTGCAATATGGTGCTCTCCATTGCAGCACTGTGTAGATGCAGATGTAAATGTAAAGGACGTACAGCTTTTACCAGCGTCCACAAATAATAAAATTAGATGTCCACGAAATTTTTTTAGGAAAATTCCAAAGATTGAAATCGAAAAAAATGTTAAGTCCAAATTTTTCAAAAGTTATCGGAAATTGATTAAGTGTGTTGATAACGTACAAAATTAAAGCATATAATTTTATTTCTCAGGTGAGATTTTGAGATAAGAAATCACCTGAGATCTCACCTGAGAAATCTTAGTAGGGTGAGGGTTGTATCGACATCCCTAATAGAAACCTTATCAATTTATGTAAAAATATAGATTTAGCATAGGCTGAGTGCAAAAAAAAGGTTGTCAATATGCTTATGTTTCTTACAAAAATGAATATTAAATGTATTTTTGGTACTAGTTGCTATAGTATTGTTGTTAAAAGTAGAGTTGCTTCAACTGAAAAATAAATATGATTTATTTAATCTCAGATCGATTATTAAAACAAGCCAAATTTTACATCAAGTATAATGGTGATCTGAATTGTTCACACAGTGTATGTGGATCATAATACTGAAAAAGGTATAT